CAACTCAAAATCAAAACAAAGTCATCATTCAGTAAGTATTATGACAAAGAAAACAAAACATCAAGATGCCGAAAAGAGGTCAGCACAAAATTAATAGGTCAAAAGAGTTGTTAATGTATCAAGTTACCTCTCTCTGTGATTTATTTTTCATGGAAATTATTTGCTTGTTTTCAATTAATTTTAGCGTACCTCTGCAATTTATTTTAGCATTGACAGTTGTTTGCTTCATTGAATTAAACGGAGTTCGTCTGGTTAGAACAAAGTTGTCTCGCACCACCTAGGAAAACTTGCGAATGTTCGAAGTACAGGTACCCATTGGACAAAATGCTGCCCAATCTGCCGTAAATACGCCTTGGGTTGTTAAATGACAGTTTAGATTATAAAAAAAATCAAAGGGGATTTTTTAAAATAAAACAAGCAGCCTGTCGGCTAATGTTAGCAATGCACATTTTACATTGTGAAGATATCATGACAAAAATATTCATCAAAATTAGAGAATTGAAGATATCATCATGAAATGAACAAATTTGAGAGAGGTCTACCTGAGGTACCTATATGTGTGGTATCAAAGCAATCAGACATGCGGTTTTTAACAAGAAGTCAAAATGAAACAACTAAAGTAAACTAGGATATATTAGAGCCAATGAATTCGTAATTTCTGACAAAAAGGGCCGGGAAAAAATACCCCTCAAAACAAATCACCGTCATAAGTCATCGTGTTGAGGGGCGGTGAACAAATGAGACATCGATTGTCAAATTGTTTGGGTAATCATCGCACGTCGATTCATTTCATTTGTACAGGGTACTCTGACACAAAAATAAGGTAAATCAGCCTACTTAGTGCTAATGATTTTGTGATTTCCCATAAAACAAGTCATTGAAAATTACACAGTCCCCGTTAAATTTTTGAAAGTTTTCTTTGTGCTCGTCATATTAAAGCGGAGGGGTTGTCGCGAGCGTGTCCTTAAACATGAGTTCCAAGTGGCGTATACAACAGATTGTTTATTTACATCAAAACACGTGTTCCGTGTTGTAGTAATATGGCCAAAAATAAAAACAGCCGTTATTCGGCCATCTTTGATCTGATTATGAAACACACTGATATGTATGATGTATGTGCCAAATACGAATGAAAATAGTACATAAATTGTGGAAATATAGTAGTAAGACCAAAAAGTCAGATGGCTGTCAATCGGCCATCCTTGACCAGATTTTGAAACAAATTGTCATGGACATGCATCCTAACATGTATAAAGTACATGTATGTGCCAAATTTGAATGAAAACTGACAGAGCACATCCAAGATACTGCATAAAAAACAAAAACAAGATGCCTGCCAGTCGACCATTTTTGATCCAATTGCGAAATAAATAGTCATGAACATATATCCCTAACATGTATAATCTGTGTACC